TACACTTACAATTGAACGCTTCAAGACTTGAAGGCGGTTATTCAGTATTTACCCCAGTATTTTTTTTCAGCGTGACAACTACTTTCACAGGTACAAGTCCCGCGGTGTCTTGGAAAATAAATTTAGTTATGCTGATTCTACAAACCAAATCATCTCTTACTCTCGGCCTTAACATACCAATCTCGTGGAAATAAGTTGAAAGATCCGGCAGACTTTTATGTATGGATAGCAACTCCAATTCAATTACGACATCTACTGTGTGATTTAGAACACAAATGCATGTAGTGCACGTTCTATTTAGGTGGACCCGTCTTCCACACGGTTCTAACAAGACATGTAAAGGAAGAAATGAAGCAAGCTTTTCTTCATCCTCTGTACAACTGTTTTAGGTGATGAAATATGCTCTTAGTAATAATAGAAAACGTCATGAATCTATGGGCAACACATTTAAATAATTTCACGAGTATTATAGCAAAATACAAAACATCATTATTCAATTTTGTCAATGCTTGAAATAACGTTTAAGAGTAAATGGCTACAACACCAGGTCATTTGATTTAGTCTAGTATGTTATATTTAACTGCAACATAAAAACTGCATTTAGTAAATATAGCACAACTGAAAGTGTTTAAAATATATCCAGTCCTATTTTAAATTTGTTGGTTTATAAAGTAACTAAATTATTATTTATTTTTATTGAAACTATTTCAAGATATTGATAATTAAATATGTATATAATATTCTCTTTTCTGTTTCAACAACTTAAAAACTTTACGACTGGTTATCAAGATTAAAGTACTAAACAGTGTTTCAGCTGAAACAACAATAAAGTATGATAGTCCTTGCGGTTGTTTTCTCTGCACAAATGAGATGTTTCCACTCTGTCCACCGCGGGAAAATCGAACCCCGGAGTTTTGCGTTGTAATTCGGTAAACTAACCCCTGACCAACCGGAGAACAAAGTGTGATACAGCTGTTATATTTTCCTCGCAAATAGTATTTAAGTGGGAGTTTCATCTTCCGTTTTTAAGATATATCAAACTTTGTTCTGAAAGTGTAAAATAATTAGCTTCAAGTTTTGTAACAAACAATAATTAAAATAATACAACAATGCTTGAAACTACTTTGGGCTAATACGTCTGTTTTTTAATATACATTCTCTTAAGTAGAGTTATTAACTGTTAACAGTTGAAGGTCTGAAATATGATAAATTTTCTCTTAGGATGCAATATAGAAAACTGTGATGTAGACTATTCTAAAAAAAGTCTACAATTGTTTATATAAAATATTTTAGTTAGCAACCCTGTAGATATGCATTTATCGTAAGGTTTAGAGTACCTCATCAAGGATTTTTACAGTACCGAAGAAATAGAACATTTCTTGAAGGATTTGTACAATATAGAAAGATTAGGCCCCTTTTTTGAAGAATTTCTACAGTATCGGAGAAATAGAGCATTTCTTGAAGGATTTGTACAATATAGGAAGATTAGGCCCCTTTTTTGAAGAATTTCTACAGTATCGGAGAAATAGAGCATTTCTTGAAGGATTTGTACAATATAGGAAGATTAGGCCCCTTTTTTGAAGAATTTCTATAGTATCGGAGAAATAGAGCATTTATTGAAGGATTTGTACAATATAGGAAAATTGGTCCCCTTTTTTGAAGGATTTCTACAGTACGGTAGAATTAGAGTATCTCAAAAAGAATTTCAACAGTACGGGAAAATTAGTGCATTTCTTGCAGGACTTATACAGTATTAGTGAAACTAAGTACATATTGAAATATTTTTCTTGCCGCAAAAATATTCAAACTTCAATTGACCATTTTACAAGCTATCACGTAAAATATCTGCAAGCATACTGTTTATAATGAAATATTCATAACTTTGTTTAATTTCCGTAGGGATTCTGATGAGTGCGTTGAAGACCTTGGGGAAGAATGTTCTTAATGAATAAAGCATTAAGTTTAATACGTTTGATAAGTTGGAGCATTTCAAACTTGTGTTACGCCTAGCGCCAACATATTGTTTTAATATTAGTTCAAATTGAGATGAAACGTGACGGCCTCTTCTCTTTTATAATCTAATGAAGAAGAATATGATGATGATGATGTAGTAATATTACTTTAGTCTTTGCTTGAGATACATTAATGCTTGCCAAACATCAGTGTAAAAGTAAGCTTTTCATGATCCTATTATCAGAGTCCATCAGAGCAAGGATTAAAGCTAGTAACTTGGCAACTCCTACAAGAAAGGCCTTGTTAACGGACCTCATACGTCAAAGAAGTTTTCGGAAGACGTTTGGAACTGCTAGTAAAAGTCTTCATCAGGTGAGGATTTGCGCTAGCACTTCGAAACCTCGTCCAAAAACCTCCTTGCCAGATGTAGCCAATTAACAAATGTATTTTTCTCTGTCTAAACCTTCCCCCAAGTAAGTCGAGTTTTTAATCACAGCGTCTGTTTCGTTTTTAAAACTTCTTAACAAATGTGTCACATGAGTTAAGGAAAGCGATTGGCTTGTGAATTATTAAATCAATACTCTTCTTTATGCAATTGTTTTGTTGAATTAGTACCTGCTGGCTACTGTCGCAGATGTTAGCCACTTGTGTAATCATTGTGATTATTGTTAGCCATGTTAACCTATAACCTGAAGGCTAAATGACACATCTTATTACCCTAGACATTTAAATAAAAGTATACAATAACTGACTTTTGAGGCCTGAGGAGAAAAAACGTTTCTTCGCTTAAAGCCAGTAAAAGTGTTGTGTTGTACTTAGTAATTACTTAAAAGTTTTACTTACGAAAGAAAGTAGTAAAATTTATTTAAGGTAATTGCAAAGAGGAACTTTGCTGAGCTTTTAATTTAATATAACTAACTATATGAAATTTGACAAGATTAGAATATCAGCATGAACAATAGTAAAACAAAGGTTTAATCAAAGTTAAAATAACTGATCATAATCAGAAAAGATTAGAATATCAGCACGAACCATAATTAAAAAAAAGGTTTAATCAAAGTTAACATGGCTTATCATAATCAGAAAGGATAAGAATATCAGCACGAACCATAATAAAAAAATGTTTAATCAAAGTTAACATGGTTGATCATAATCAGAAAGGATTAGAATAACAGCGCGAACCATAATAAAAAAAATGTTTAATCAACGTTAACTTAGCTGATCATAATTCTGAAGTAGAAGTAGGATAGCTGGTTAATCGTAATATTTGAGATTAAACAACTAACTGATTTATGTTCAACTGTGATTAAACAAGGTTATTGGTTATTGAGACTAACTCTAATCCATCTAAATAAATAACAGTTTAGCATAACTGATCCTTAATTTTGGGGATTAAGCAAAAACTTACTTAATATGTGCAACTGTGATCAAACAAGTTAAAGTATGATAAAACTTTCTAGAATGGACGGCAACTGCCTATTGTAGAGGACGACGTTTCGAAAGTCTTCCGCCTTTCGTCTTCAGATCAAGGTTAAGATTAACATGAACAGAGTCATACATTTATGGCTCTGAACATGATTATAAATCCCCTATCCCCGATTAATTAAGCTTGCAAATTAGCATAAATACATTAGCTAATAAATCAGTTTAATATGCCTAACTCTGATTAAATTAAATTACAGGGTAACCCAACTATAAGGTTAGTGTTTAAATAAGTTAACAATTTACATAAGGAAGGTAAACAATAAGTCAAGTTAATATGGCCAACTGTGACTAGACAAGGTTACAGGTTCATCCTATGATTGAACAACTTAACAAGTTAGTATATCGGAATTAAACAACAAGTCAAGTTAATATGTCCAACTGTTACT